TATCTGTCATCTGAATCAGGGACATCTCGTAGGTTTCTCAATGAGACTCTTTAGGGGGTTAGATTAGGCAAGATTAAGAGAACATAATGTTATCTCTGGTAAGATTTCCTCTGGAGTTAAGGTCCAAAGAAACCGGGAAGGACTATCATAAATTACTTTGAAATGTGGGGGTAATAATTTGTTCAAGGGAAAAATACGATGCATTGCTGATTTTACTTGGCATTGTAACCAGTCGCATCTCCCGTTCGTTTTATCTGAAATGCGAATTTCCTGAACCGGAAGGTTCTTTCGTTTCTCGTTGGAAGTTCGTTTTGGCGGGTTTGTGCAATATATATCAAGTGGTGGATCTTTGAATCTAGTCGTGATATGACTTAATCGTCATAGAGCATGAAGTTGGCATTTTTCCCCCTAGTTGCAAGGGCAGAGAGAGAGAAACAGGCAACGATTCGTACTGTTAACAAACGATCCTACCTCAGATTGCGACACTGCAACTAAGGCAGTGGAATAGTTGAAGAATACGTGTAAACACTGAGAAGTTTAAAAATAACGCAAAACTGCCTTGGCTCTCCTAACTACATTGTTTGAGCTTGGCACGTGGATTCTTGTACGCCGCAACGCATGACGGGAACGAAAATCAATCGGTAGATACCGCATACTTCACGCCATAATAGCACGGCCTCTCAAAAAATTTTTTTTCCTCTTTGAAAAATTGAAATGCAGCTAATTGCATGGGACATTTTTACATCTTTTACCACAGGGAATGAATCTACTCTTCGAGCTGGTCGACATTTAAGCGGTGGAGATCAATCTGATTGATTTTTCATTTCCATTGGCTGATGGTGACCATGAATGGAACGAGGCTATGAAGAATCGTTTGTCTCGTAAGTATGAAAAAAAAAACGTAATGGTGATGTTGATGATATTGGTCAACGGTCTAAGTGATTGTTCATGATTATGCAATCCCTCTGATTTGGGGAATTGATTTTCTCTTAAGTTAGGAAAGATTTTAATTTTTTCAAAGACGTCATGACGCGCTTGTTGTGAACATAAATTTACCTTCGTATTCTGACACTTCATTTAATTTATAGCTTAAACTTAGTGTCTCTTTTTTGTTGTATTACTTCATGCTTGAGCTTGTTACTATATTAATTTATTTTTTTTGTACTGTTGTGATTTGATCTAAGTGTGGCAGCCTTATCAGTAAGGGGTTAAAAAAAATTCCCTGGGAGCTTACCATTTGGTAGCTTTTAGTTTAGAAAGCCATTTCAAGTTTTTCCATTTGAACAAACATAGGGTTCTAAGTGATCAGCAGC